GAATAGATACACTGTGGGCGGATACATTGTGAATAGATACACTGTGGGCGGATACATTGTGAATAGATACACTGTGGGCGGATACATTGTGAATAGATACACTGTGGGCGGATACATTGTGAATAGATACACTGTGGGCGGATACATTGTGAATAGATACACTGTGGGCGGATACATTGTGAATAGATACACTGTGGGCGGATACATTGTGAATAGATACACTGTGGGCGGATACATTGTGAATAGATACACTGTGGGCGGATACATTGTGAATAGATACACTGTGGGCGGATACATTGTGAATAGATACACTGTGGGCGGATACATTGTGAATAGATACACTGTGGGCGGATACATTGTGAATAGATACACTGTGGGCGGATACATTGTGAATAGATACACTGTGGGCGGATACATTGTGAATAGATACACTGTGGGCGGATACATTGTGAATAGATACACTGTGGGCGGATACATTGTGAATAGATACACTGTGGGCGGATACATTGTGAATAGATACACTGTGGGCGGATACATTGTGAATAGATACACTGTGGGCGGATACATTGTGAATAGATACACTGTGGGCGGATACATTGTGAATAGATACACTGTGGGCGGATACATTGTGAATAGATACACTGTGGGCGGATACATTGTGAATAGATACACTGTGGGCGGATACATTGTGAATAGATACACTGTGGGCGGATACATTGTGAATAGATACACTGTGGGCGGATACATTGTGAATAGATACACTGTGGGCGGATACATTGTGAATAGATACACTGTGGGCGGATACATTGTGAATAGATACACTGTGGGCGGATACATTGTGAATAGATACACTGTGGGCGGATACATTGTGAATAGATACACTGTGGGCGGATACATTGTGAATAGATACACTGTGGGCGGATACATTGTGAATAGATACACTGTGGGCGGATACATTGTGAATAGATACACTGTGGGCGGATACATTGTGAATAGATACACTGTGGGCGGATACATTGTGAATAGATACACTGTGGGCGGATACATTGTGAATAGATACACTGTGGGCGGATACATTGTGAATAGATACACTGTGGGCGGATACATTGTGAATAGATACACTGTGGGCGGATACATTGTGAATAGATACACTGTGGGCGGATACATTGTGAATAGATACACTGTGGGCGGATACATTGTGAATAGATACACTGTGGGCGGATACATTGTGAATAGATACACTGTGGGCGGATACATTGTGAATAGATACACTGTGGGCGGATACATTGTGAATAGATACACTGTGGGCGGATACATTGTGAATAGATACACTGTGGGCGGATACATTGTGAATAGATACACTGTGGGCGGATACATTGTGAATAGATACACTGTGGGCGGATACATTGTGAATAGATACACTGTGGGCGGATACATTGTGAATAGATACACTGTGGGCGGATACATTGTGAATAGATACACTGTGGGCGGATACATTGTGAATAGATACACTGTGGGCGGATACATTGTGAATAGATACACTGTGGGCGGATACATTGTGAATAGATACACTGTGGGCGGATACATTGTGAATAGATACACTGTGGGCGGATACATTGTGAATAGATACACTGTGGGCGGATACATTGTGAATAGATACACTGTGGGCGGATACATTGTGAATAGATACACTGTGGGCGGATACATTGTGAATAGATACACTGTGGGCGGATACATTGTGAATAGATACACTGTGGGCGGATACATTGTGAATAGATACACTGTGGGCGGATACATTGTGAATAGATACACTGTGGGCGGATACATTGTGAATAGATACACTGTGGGCGGATACATTGTGAATAGATACACTGTGGGCGGATACATTGTGAATAGATACACTGTGGGCGGATACATTGTGAATAGATACACTGTGGGCGGATACATTCTGAATAGATACACTGTGGGCGGATACATTGTGAGCCGACAAACAGCCGACGGGGCTGGCAGTTTCTCCTCCCAGAATCCCTTGCAGCTGGTGTGCTCATTTGCATATTGAGCTCATAGCTGAGCCGTTAATGATTCTACATCGATATCTATATGAAATGTTGGAATCTGTTGCAGGGAAAAGCAGATCTAATATTCCTTTCCACAAATGTGTTTTTAGCTACAAATACGCTTTGTTCTATTGTCGCCATAAGTTGATGATTTCAGCTCTGTTCAGCCTTATATAGCGATCAGGGTGACCAGTGTTTTGTCCTCGCTTCGGCAGGACATATACTAAAATTGGAACGATACAGAGAAGATTAGCATGGCCCCTGCGCAAGGATGACACGCAAATTCGTGAAGCGTTCCATATTTTGGTGCCGCCTCAAGCCTCACAATTAAAGGGCCTCCCTTGCTTTGCTCATTCATGACCCCGCCCCCACATCTTCTATGACCACTCCCACCCACAATCCCATTTTACATTCCACACTGCCAGGCGCCGCTGTGAACTTATAGACCCCCCACAGCCCACCAGAGGCCCTGCGGAGCCCACCTGACACCCTGCGGAGCCCACCTGACACCCTGCAGAGCCCTCCTAAGACCCCGCACAGCCCTCCTGAGACCCTGAACAGCCCACTTGAGATCCTACAGAGCCCACTTGGGACCCTGCACATACCGTAGACCCCGCACAGCCCACCGGACACCCTGCAGAGCCCACTTGTGGCCCAGCACATACCATATACTCCGCACAGCCCACTTGAGACCCCGCACATACCAAAGACCCCGCACAGCCCACCTGACACCCTGCAGAGACCACCTGAGACCGTGCATAGCTCACTGGAAATCCCACACAGCCCACCTGAGAGTGATTCTGCAGAGTCCTGCTCCCCATGTGACCCAAAGAGATACCACCTGGGGCAACTGCCTCCGGCTGCCTCATTATAAGGACGGCCTTATCGGTGGAGCTTTTTTTTGAAAAATGATATTATTTCTGTATCATGTCAGGAATTTATTAAGACGGACTTGTAAAGGTTCTGAATTACATTTGTCAGCTTCAGTGATCCCAATCTGGTAAAGTGTCCGGCATGGCCACAGAACTGCTGTGTATGAGGCCTGGCCTCCGGGAAATGCCGCCGCCGCGAGCCATTCACACTTCTCTTATAAGGAACGCCACGCGAGCTCGGGGGAGACCAATCAGATCCTACGATCGCAGCAAAAGGACAATCTACAATAATAAGGGTTATAAAAACGGTTTTATTGACGGCGGCGATCACATTGTACGGAGCCACACAAGTGACACAATCATTTCCCCCGCTGCCATCAGAGACATTGTTACTTCTTCTTCATAGTAAGAAATGAAAGTTATTCTATATACGGTGACAACAATATCCACCAATAGAAACAATTCTCAGAGTTAAATCCCAACTCAACCCTCAGTTTAAATCCGCTCTAAACTTTCCAGGCGAATCAAAACATTTTGGGGTCTATTTCTAAACAATGTGGAGATCCATTCGCCCGGCAAATCTCTGTGAACGTCCGTTCTGGAGGCAAAAAAGTAGATTTTCTTTTAAAGGAGAACTATGGGGTCAGTGTTTTTCCCCATAGTTCTCCTAAGGGTCACGGGAGGACATGAACTAGCGTCCTCCCGTCACCCAAAGCTCAGTATATCAGTGTAGCTCGCGGTATACTGAGACCGCCGAAGCCGGGACGGATCCCGACATTACTGTCGAGATCCACCCAGCTGCGTGAGTGATAGCTGGCTCTGACTATCCAGAGGCAGAACCAGCTGTACCCGCCCCCTCCATGTCCGTTCCGCCAGTCAGCGCTGGAGGATCGGACAGGGGAGGAATCCCTGCAGGGAGGCATGAGTGACAGTCACGGCTCTCTGCAGGGACAGGATCGACAAGTGAGCGAGCGACGGTATGTGTTCGCTCACTTCCCGATCTACTGAGCCGACCTGTGACAGTCTCATTGTCACACGTCGGCTCGCACTATGAGGTTGAGTGAAAAGCACTCACCTCATAGTTCTCCTTTAAGATCAAATGTAACATTCAGAAAATACCGCACTGAGGCCACTAGATGGAGCTGAGGAGGCAATAAATACTTTTTTCTATGCTCCTCATCCCCATCTAGTGGCTATAGGACGGTATTTTCAGAACATTACATTCGACCTGAAAAGAAAATATGCAAAGAATTGTTTTTGGTGTTTTTTTGCCTCCATTCGCACAGAACGAACGTTCAAAGAGATTTGCAGGGGGAAATGTTTATAGATAGACCTTAAAATGTTCAATCAGCATGATGCAGAGGAGGACCCTTGCTCTCTGTGGAGAAGCAGTCGTCTCTCAGGAAAAGGGACACCATGATCCCTACTGAGCCAGACCAATAGCTCTCATGCTCCCTGCTGATTGGAAAGTTCTAGTTTCCCTTGATGGCGCTGATGAGTGCAGGACCTTTAATATAAGAGCCCCATAGTGTTATTTTGTGTCTCAGGGCAAAGTGAGAGATTCTCTTGTTCCTGTACCTACTGATACCTTCACCATTCTCCATTTATTGGTTGGAGTCCTCAGAACCACCCAGTACTTTTGGGTGTGAGGGAACATTTGACCTTCTCCCTCACTTCTGGAATGCTGTGTGACCTAAGCAGAAAGTTGCCAGGCGTGAACACTCTCACCGGTCAGGAGGAGAGAAGGTCATTCACACTGTGTTAGCTCTGAGACAGTTTACATAGGGATAAGGCTCAGGGCTCATCAGATGCCTATATCTCAAAGTGGACCTGATCGGGACATTGGAAGAGATGATCTGATGGCTTCTCATATGAAACAAAACCAGTTCTTCTATGTGTTTCCATGTGTTCTTAAAAACCAATCCCCAACTTTTTGCCCCCAAACACTTGTGCCAACATTCCTCCTCCAGGACCACGCAAGACGCCACCTCAAAAAGTCTTCTAGAAGGAGGAAACGCGTCCATATCTCTAGTCAAAGTTTAGTGATCATTGCATGAACTCAAGAAGTCGCCTTCACATTTTTTTGACCAAAAGTATCCACGGCAGCACCGCGGCCAAGACAGCCACAAGAAATATCACTAACAGGACCATGATTATAGATGGAGACCGACAGCAGCTGACCCTTGCATCCACAGGCTGGGTTATCGTCGGGCCGTTTATGTCCTCGTTACACATCGGCTGCCCTTGGTCGCTGATGATAAAGACTTGGGAACCGTGTGTGTGGTTCAACGAGTCAAGGTTGGTGTCTGCAAGGCACGTGCATCTGGAAAGATACGGGTTGTCTGATTCACTGGCCTCGGTGATGGGAATGATCAAAGTGTTGGGGTTTCCGAGAAGAGAAGTGTGCCGAAGGCATGGCGGAGTGATGGGGACCTCCAAGATCCGGTTGGGTTCTCCCGTCCTTGGCGGTAAAATAAGGCCCCTGTTGGTTAGAAATGTCACATAGCGGCACAGGGGACAAATTATGTTCTTGTTGGTCGCGCCTTCCTTCTTGGCGGTCATGAGATACTTCACCAAGCAGTCATGGCAGAAGGAGTGGCCGCAGCTCAACCTCCGCTCAGATATACTTGGGTTCTGGAGGCGTTCATAGCAGACGGGGCACTCGTTGGTATTGGCCTCTTTGGTGGTGTCTTCATTGGACATGGCTCTCTACTACCTCCGTTTTCTGAAAACCAAAGAGAATCTTTTTAGTGGCAAGGTAAGTGGTAAGGTGAGCAACATAACCTTCTGCTGATCCTTCAACATACAGGAGGACCTCATTAACGTACAATGAATATCAGCTCTATCAGGCTCAACAGGTTTTTTGCACTCGTCAAACAGCAGAAAATGCTTTTAATGGTATATTTAGCAGACCCAAGGCAGCTGGTAAGAGAAGTTCATTGTTAGGGTTTAAATGCCCTTATTGTCAGGCACCAGAGCGCTGTGGAGCTGCAGCCTGATCCTGCAGTTCCAGTGCTTGCCTGCAGGGGTCTGCAAGCAATTAGTCGCCACCTGGGAGGGTATTTAACCTCTCCCTGCTATGAGGTCTGTGCCACAGTAATTGTTGCCATTTCCTGTCTCTGCCTTGGACCCTGACTCCTGACCCACCAGTATCCTGTCTCTGCCTTTGACCCTGACTCCTGACCCTCCAGTATCCTGTCTCTGCTTTTGACCCTGACTCCTGACCCTCGAGTATCCTGTCTCAGCCTTGGACCCTGACTCCTGACCCTACAGTATCCTGTTTCTGCCTTGGACCGTGACTCCTGACCCACCAGTATCCTGTTTCTGCCTTGGACCCTGACTCCTGACCCACCAGTATCCTGCCTCTGCCTTGGACCCTGACCCGCCAGTATCCTGTCTCTGCCTTGGACCCTGACTCCGGACCCTCCAGTATCCTGTCTCTGCCTTGGACCCTGACTCCTGACCCACCAGTATCCTGTCTCTGCCTTGGACCCTGACCCCTCACCCCCCCCTATCCTG